ATAAAAAAAAATAAAAGAAAAAGAAAAGAACAAATAAAAGAAAGATAATTAAAAACAATATGTGTCTAAATTAATAATATGATCTATATTTTATATTTAATTTATTTAGCACAATATTAAGAAGTATTAAATGTAAATTTGTGTTAATTTCTAACATGTTATGCAAAAATTGATAAACATAATACAAAAAATAATAAACATGATACAAGAAATTACAAGGGTATATAAAAATTATTATACTTCTAATAAGATATAAGATATTTATAATTCAATAATATTAAGTATGAATGATTCAGTATAATATTTGATTAAAGTTCATTATATAATACTATATAAAGATTAAACTTGATAAATAAATTTTATAAAAAATAAGTTTTTAACTAATTATAATAATAATTAATTTTTATTGTATAATATATTAAATAATAATCTAAACAAAAAATAATTTTTTTCATATTATTTATTAAACAAGTTTATAAAAATAAGTTTTTAACTAATTATAATTAATTTTATCATTTTTATTTAATATAATTAGTTCATCAAATTATTTTTTATTTTATTATTATTACATATTTTTTGTTATCTTTTTGTAATCATGTATTAAGCAACTCTTTTATAAGTTAAAATGTAAATATATCACCAAAATAGTTAAATTTTAATTTAGTATTGTATTCTAAATATGAAATTATTTAAGAAAATATTAATTATTAATTTTTCAAATTATTATTTGATATATTATGTAATAAAAAATAATTATTAATTAAAAATTTGTTTTATAAACTTGTTTAATAACAATATAAAAAAATATTATTCTTTAAAATTATCATTTAATTTATCATGTAATATAAATTAATTCTTATTATAATTAGTTAAAAACTTGTTTTTTAATTAAAATTAGAACAATATTATTATTTGATATATCATATGATGAAAAATAATTCTTATTATTATTGATTAAAAACTTGTTTTTTTAATTAAAATTAGAATAATATTATTCTTTAAAATTATCATTTGATTTGCTTTAATATATAATATTTTACGATTAGTTATTTCAAGATGAACTAAAACCTGATAGTTTTATAAATAAATACTCTGAACTAAGACAAATTATATCTTTAAACACATCATTTTGTTAGTACTATTAGTTAAATAAATTATAAGATTGTGAAAAAGTAACAGAGTAAAAGATAATTATTTTAAAATTTATATAAGAAATTTATAAAAGTGTGATGATATTGATTATAATAAAGTACAATTGCTTAAATTTTTTCAGACATGTTCTCCAATTGCTATAGCTGAAGAAATTAATTTGACCATCAATCTGATCATTAATAATAGTTCTTTCAAGATCTCCAAATTATTGAATAATTCTGATAGTGACAAAATCGAAGTCATTGTAGCAGCAGTAGAAGATGGGTATGTTCTATTTATCTATAAAGGCAAGTACTTTAGTACTTCTAAGTCTACTCAATTTTGTGAAACTATAAAAATATATGATGAAGATAGAGACTATTAGATGATTATAAAGTTTCAAGATATAATTGAAAAGTTGACTAACAAGTTGATCAACAGAACTATAATTATTGTAGAAATATAAAGATCTATAACTCTATTACCTATAATAATCCCATTTTTTCAGGAATTATATGTGATCCAATATTGATTTCACCTATTCTGATGAAGATTTCAGAGTTTATTAAAGTGAGTGAAAATAGATTTGAGAGAGAATTAATATAAGAGAAAAAGAAAGTCAAGCTTGTGAGTGAAGAGAGATCTAACATCAATTTTGTTAAACCTATAAGAGATGTTGTTGAGGTAAATTATACATCAGTTATTACCCCTGGTATTAACTTTGTGAATGAGAAATCAATTAGATTTCCAAGTCCTGTATTTTAGTATAAATTCATGAAACAAATGAAGATAATGTTTCTGATCACAACTAATCAAACTTGATTTTCTGAATTTGATAAGGATAGATTTTTGAAGAAATTGCCTGTCAAAGATAAAATGAGGAAAGAATATGAATTTTCACTCTATCATTCAGAGTTTTTTTTTCTGGGATCCCAAACATAGCGTGAAGTGATTATATTACAGATAGTGTACCTGTATATCTTAAAAATATTGAACAAGATGCACAATCTCGACAAGATGAAAGAGATTACCATAAATATCTTTGCAATATTCAAACAATAATTTTGTTACGAACATGAAATACTCTAAAGTTGGTTCTACTGAGTTAAAGTAAGTAATTAAAATAATTAAATATTGCCAAATTCTTAATGATGCAAAATTAATATATTCAGAAGAAGAAAACATAAAAGTTGAAAAAGACTAAAGAGTCACAATTTGTTCAATATGCAAGTGGTGATTTTGATTCTCTATCTAATTTTAGTTCAAAGAGAGAGAAAGAGATTGATAGTGATTATGAAAATGAAGTATCAATTCTGACATACCTCTATGAATGTATATCACCAAAATAGGTGAGAAATAAACAAGAAAGAAAGGAATAGAGAAGACCATATCTTAAAATTGATCATTCTAAAAGATCTCTGATAAGAGATTTTGTTGAATGAGATTGTTTGACAATTGTATAAGCTTATGCTAACATTGGTATGTGGCCATGAGTTTGAGACTGGATGCTTTCATTACTGAGAACCGCATCCACTTAAATAAGTATATTTCTTTCAAATCGATTTGTTCTGATAAAAATATTTGTGAAAGTAACATCAGGAAATTTTTTGGGGTGATTTGTATCGATATTTATCGTTAGTTATATATTGATATATATCCGAGTCATCGATGTATATTGAAACAGATATTTGATATATATCGATATATATCGAAGTCATCGATGTATATTGTTTAATGATGTAGATCATTAAATATCATTGTTTAATGATGTAGATCATTAAATATTATTGTTTAATGATGTAGATCATTAAATATCATTGTTTAACGATGTAGGTCGTTAAATATCATTGTTTAATAATATACATTGTTAAATATCATTATTTAACGATATACATTGTTAAATCGACTTATTTCATTAAATATTGATATATGTGTAAATATCGTTATTTAATGATTTTTATTATTAAATTCAGAATATTCTTTATTATTAAAACGAAAATC